ATTACCTTTTTCCAACTTCAAATTATGTCCCCAAAGGAAAACTTTGACAACATCTGTTTTAACAAAAAAAAACATTTCTCAGTTTGTTTATCTCACTTCAGTTTTATTGTTGCAGTGCAAAATGGGATTGTCAAGCAGACAAACTGACCAACACTTTCATGAAAACCTGTCATAAATGTTGTATGCACCTGGCAAACTCAACTATTTGTATTACAGTCTAATCTAATCCACCTTAATTAAATGTAAACAGGTATGCACTGCTGTGCTACTACAGGTATTTTGAACAGTGCAACTTGAAATTGTACTAAAAAGTTGTGCAGACCCTTCAGCAATTGGGGCATTTGAAAGTAAATTACTGTTAAATTTAAATTAAATTAAATAAAACATGTAGTCTTACATCTAGGGATGCACCAAAATGAAAATTCTTGGCCGAAACGGAAACCGAAAATTCTGGATGCACTTGGCCGAAAACCGAAAATGCTTTGTAATGTTTATTTAGTATTTTATTAAATAATATAAAGCAAATTTGGAAGACTTTTTAAATTTAACTCCATTTTAATGATACTGAATAAAAAAAAAACACAATCCAATAAAATAACCACACTTTTACTGAAAGTAACACAATAAAACTGGACAGAATTTATATTAATATTGGTAACACTTTACAATAAGGTTCATTAGTTAACTGCTTTAGTTAATGAACTAAGAATGAACAATAGTTCTTCAGCATTTACTAATCTTAGTTCATGTTCATTTCAACATTTACTAATGCATTATTAAAATCAACAGTTGTGCTTGTTAATAGTTAATTCACTTTGAATTAACATGAACTAACAGTGAATAACTGTATTCTCATTAACTAACATTAAGACAGATTAATAAATACTATAATAATTGTATTGTTCATTGTTCGTTCATGAAAGTTAATACATTAACTAATGGAACCTTATTGAAAAGTGTTACCTTAGTATTAAATATCAAAATATTATTTTATTCACTTCTATGTAACATAATCAGATATAAGTTGTTGTTTGTTTGTTTTTTTGACTAATCCAAATAATGTATAGTCCTACAAAGCTATTATTATCAGAACATATGAGCAGAGCATCTCAGGCAACTCTGGTGAGATAGAATTTGCAAGGAAATAAATGTATGTGTGTGTTATGAGTTTTTCCAGTACCGATTAACGTCAGAGCTTATCGATACTCCGGTCTTTCATAATTTAGCCCCGGGTCCGATTAAATACCGGGTTTCGGTAACCATCCCTACACATAAGCCTGCATGTTTCCTCACAGCTGAGACCTACTTCCAACATTTCCTAAGTCAGCACAAGGACGAACACAGTGACCGAGCAATGCTTCACTGTAGATGCACCTGTTGTGGGTGAACACAAGGCAAACAAAAGGCTTGTTTCTAACAACTATGAGGAATAAAATATTTTTTTTTTGTCAGACTGTAAAATTAGGATTCATTGTGATTCTTTTTTTTAGTTCCAGCCAGGCATTTTGAACAACTGCAGTTGAATCTGACTTGAAATACCTTTAATATTATAGGTCAGTCAATATTTCAGTCAGTAGTTTTTCAGTTTAAGTCTAAAAGGAAATAGTTGTATTTTTCCATGTGTGTAGTGTGAATAAAACAGTGAATCGAAAGCAAATGTATATATCATGACGGTCTTGGATGCAAGTCTTCCTTTAATATTCCTGCTAGTATGTCCCTCAGGTGGCTCCTAAATCAACCTTGTACGGCAATGTCAAGTCAGTAATCAGTGTTTTCCCATAGAGGTCTGTATCTCAGGGCTCATCTGCATCTGGCCTCAGTGTAGCGCTGCGGACACGTATAACCTTGTTGCTCATGCCTGTTTATCTGATCTATTGCTCCCTGGTCTCTCTAGAGCTCATCACCAACAGTCTCACTTCAGTAGCTCTCATAGTCGGTGTTATCATCCATAAAATGCTTTCAATCATCCGTTCTGCTGAGCTGTTGCAAATCCGAAATCTGACCCAGTGAAAACCGGCACAAGTCTTCTGTCTCCTGACACCTGCACAAGGATACTTGACCACACATGGGTCTAATTTTTGTTGATTTCCCCTACAAAACCCAGGGGCACATCTCACCTGTTGTTGTTGAGTGAGCAATTAGAGTATGTATTTCAGTACAGCACATTTCACATTTGGCACGAAATTGAGGCACAGTTAGACCCTGGTGTGCTCTTTTATTCAGAATTATATTGGAAAACAGAAGCATATTTGTTATTGAAGGACTCTTCTGAGGTAATGAGGCCATTTCATGTCTCTCTAGAGCAGGGGTGGGCAAACTTGACCCTTCCAGGCCACTTTCCTTCAGAGTTTAGCTCCA